AAACCCATCTGGGAATGATGCTTTCTATTTTGGAAGGTTATTAATTCAATTTTTTGAATAGATACAAGGCTGTTCAGATTATCTGCTTCACCTTGTGCGAGTTTTGTTAGACTGCATCTCTGAAGGAATTTGTCCATTTTACCTAGATTTTCAAGTTTGTGGGCATAGAGTTCATAATATTTATTATCCTTTTAATGTCCATGGGATTAAGGCAATGGTCCCTCTTTTATTTCTGATATTAGTAATTTGTGTCTTCTCTTGTTAATTTTGCTAGAGGTTTATCTATTTTATTAATCTTTCAAAGAATCAGCTTTTTTGTTTAATTGATTTTTCTCTATTGCTTTCCCTTTTTCAATTTCATGGATTTGTGCTTTATTTTTTGTTTGTTTTTTTCTTTTTCTTTCTTTTTTTTTTTTTTTTTTTCCTTTTTCTGCTTTGGATTTAATTCGTTCTTTTTCTAGTTCCTGAGGTGGAAGTTTAGATTATTGATTTTAAACCGTCTTTTCTAATATATACATCCAATGCTATAAATTTCTCTCTAAGCACTGCTTTACTGAATCCCCCAAATTTTGATAAGTTGTTTATTTTTATTTAGTTCAAAGTATTTACTTCTCTTTTCACTTTTTCTTTTACCCACATTATTTAGAAGTGTGCTGTTTAATCTCCAAGTATTTGGGGGCATTTCCAGGAATCTTTCTGTTAATTATTTTTAGTTTAATTTTGTGGTAGTCTGAGAACATATTTGGTGTGATTTCTCTTCTTCTAAATTTGTTAAGGTATGTTTTATGACCTAGAATGTGGCCTATCTTGTCGATTGTTCCGTGTGAGCATGAAAAGAATGTGTATTTTGCTGTTGGATGAAGCAGTCTGTAGATGTCAGTTATATCCAATTGATTGATAGTAGTAGTGTTAAGTTCAACTTTGTCCTTACTGATTTTCTGCCTGCTGGATCTGTCCATTTCCAACAGAGGGGTCCCAAAGTCTCCAACTATAAATTCATTTTTTTTCTCCTTGTAGTTCTATCAGTTTTTGCCTCACATATTTGACACTCTGCTCTTAGGTGCATACATGTTAAGGAATCTTATGTCTTCTGGAGAATTGACTGCTTTATCAGTATGTATTGCCTCTCTTTATCCTTGGTAACTTTTCTTGCTCTGAAATTAATATAGCTACTCCTGCTTTTCTAATTAGTGTGAGCATGGTATGTCTTTCTCTATTTGTTTACTTTTTTTTTCAAAAATTGACAAATAAAAATTGTATATATTTAAATGGTGTACAATATGAGGTTTTGATATATTTATACATTGTGGAATGACTAAATCAAGCTAATTAGTATATCCATTAACTAAAATACTAATTTTTTTGTGACGAGAACACTTTAAATGTATTCCCCATAATTTTCAAGTATACAGTACATTGTTATTAACTCATCACCATTTTGTACAACAGATCTTTTGAATTTATTCCTCCTGGCTAACTGAAATTTTGTGTTATTTGATCAACATCTCCCTAATCCCTACCCTACCCACACCAATTTACTTTTAGTCTGTATGTGTCTTTATAGTTAAAGCAGGTTTCTTGTAGACAATACATAGTTGGGTCTTGTTTTTTTTAAATTGGTATGTTTTGACCACTGATATTTACAGTGATTATTGATACACTTGGATTAGTATCTACCATAATTGTTACCGTTTCTGTTCCTTGCTCTGGTTCTCCCCACCCACTTTTCTGGGTAATTGAGAATTTTATCATACTATTCTATATATTTTTCTTAATTAGCATATCAATTATACCTTTTTTTTTGTTGCTTTTTTGTGGTTCCCCTTGCATTTGCAGTATACATTTACGGTTAATCCATCTTCTTTCAAATAATGCTGTACCACCTCAGAGGTAGTGCAAGTACCTTTTAACAGGGTATTTATATTCTGTCCCTTTTGACATTGCTATTATTCATTTTACTTATCCATAAGCAGTAATCACTGAGTATATTGTGGCTACTATTTTGAACAAACTGTTATCTGTTAGATTAATTACAAATAATAAGAAAAGTGATTTTTACCTTTATTACAAATTGATAATTATAATTGCATTAATTTATGGGGTACAAAGTAATGTTATAATTCACTAATACAATACGGAATAAAGTCAAGCTACTTAACATATTCATCACCTCAGATACTTAACATTTTTTGTAGTGAGAACATTTGAAATGTACTGTTAACAATTTTATTTATTATTTGTGTGTGTTTGTGTGTGTGTGTCAGCAATTTTGAAATGCACAGTACTCTTATTAACTGTATTCACTCTGCTGTGTAATAGAACTCAAAAAAAGAGAAAAACATATTCCTCCTGAGATTTTACTCCTTTTGACCATCTTCTTTGTATTTACCCCACTCCCAGCCTCTGTAAGCACCTTTCTCCTCTCAGCTTCTATTAAGTTTGATTGTTTTAGATTCCACATATAGATTACAACATGTAGTGTTTGGTTTTCTTTGCCTGACTTATTTCAGTTCTCCAGTTTCATCTGTGTTGCTGAAAATGACAGAATTTTTTTCTTTTTTAAGGCTGAGTAGTATTCTGTTGTGTAACCACATTTTCTTTATCCATTCATCTGTCAATATTCCATAACTTGGCTATTTTGAATAGCACTACAATGAACATGGGAGTGCATACATCTCTTTACAAACTGATTTCAAATCTTTTTGGTAAATACTCAGAAGTGGGATTGCTAGATCATATGGTAATTCTATTTCTAGTTTTTTAAGGAACCTCCATACTGTTTTCCATTATGACTGTACTAATTTACATTCCCACCAACAGTGTACAAGGGTTCCCTTTTTTCCACATCTTTGCCAACATTTGTTATCTTTTGTGTTTTCAATAAAAGCCACTCTCACAATTGTGAGTTGATATCCCCTCATTGTTTTAAGTTGCACTTCCCAAATGATTCCTTTTCTATTTATTTATTTATTTGTTTGTTTATTTTTTCTTTAAAATTTTTTTTATTTTTTTAGTTTTCTTTTTATTTATTTTATTATTATTATTATTATTATTATTATTGGTAAATGATTCCTTTTCTAATGCTCCTAGTTTCTGGCCTATATTATTTTCCTTCTTTCTGACAATTTTTTAAACATTTTTTGCAAGCCAGGTCTACTGGCAACAAATCTCCTCAGTTTAAATTTGTTTTAGAAAATTATTCCTTCTTTACTTTTGAAGATAATATTGCTAGATAAAGAATTCTAAGTTGGTGGGTTGTTTTCCTTTGAACACTTTAAATATTTCACTCCATTCTCCTTGCTTGCATAGTTTCTGAGGAAAAGTTCAATGTGATTCTTATCCTTGTTCTTCTGGTAGGTAAAGTGGGGTTTTTTTTTTTCCCCCTCCCCTCTGGTGTCTTTCAAGATTTTGCCTGACTTTCTGCAACTAGAATCTGATATGCTTAGTGTAGTTTTTGGTACTTATCCTGCTTGGTGTCCTGAGCTTCCCCAATTTGTGGTTTGTGGTGTATCTTTAATTTGGGAAATTCTAAGTCATTATTGCTTCAAATATTTGTTCTGTTTCCGTTCTCCCTTTTGATATTACCATTACATATATGTTATACCATTTGTAATTTTCCCACACTTCTTGGATATTCTGTTTAGTCTTTTTGCATTTCAGTTTTGGAAGTTTCAGTTGACATTTCTTCCAACTCAGTAATTTTTTTTTTTTTTTTTTTTTGCTTTGGTTTGTCCAATGTAATGATAAGCGTGTCAGAACATCTTTCATTTTTGTTACTGTTTTTGATTTCTAGCATTTTCTTTTGATTTTTAGATTTTTCCATTTCTTTAATTTCCTTTCCTGCTCTCTACTTCTGTTACTATCTATTCTTGCATATTGTCTAAATTTTTCTCTTATAGCCCTTAGCATATTAATCATAGTTGTTTTAAATTCCTGGTCTGATAATGCAAATATCTCTGCTATATATGATTTTTTTTTCTTTTTTTTTTTTTGCATGGCTGCCCAGTACCGGGAACTGAACCCTTAACCTTGGTGTTACAGGCTGAACTCTGACCAGCTGAGGCCAGCCCTCTGCAGTATCGGAATCTGGTTCTGATGCTTCTTTGTGTCTTCAAACTGTGTTTTATCTTTTAGTATGTTTTTAAATTTTTTTTTTTTGGGTGGCTGGTCGGTACAGGAATCTGAACTCTTGACATTGGTATTACAACACTGTGCTCTAACTAACTGAGCTAACTGGCCAGCCCCTGCCTTGTAATTTTTTATTGAAAGCTGAACATGATATACTGGGTAAAGGAACTGAGGTAAATAAGCTTTTAGTGTGAGGTTTTATGATTATCTAGCTGGGAGTTAGGCTGAGTATAACTATAGGTCTCAGGTTAAAATTTCCTCTGGTGTCCCCCCCTTTTTTTTTTTTTTTTAACCTTTGTTTTCTTTGGGTTTCCCTGGAGACTTAGCTGGTACAGGGATCCAAACCTTTGACCTTGCTGTTATAACACCACGCTCTAACCAACTGAGCTAACTGACTAGCCTCCTACCTTGATTTTGAAGGTGGTGGTAGATGTGAATTGAAGAAAGTTATTGAGGTAATAATGTTCCAAAGTGGGACAAGGAAAGGAGTGGCAGGAAGATATGAGGAAATTAGTAAAATAATATTGGTAAGTGTTCATAAATTACTTCATAAATTAGCAGCGAAGTGTTTTTTTTGTTTGCATGTTTATATAAATTAGAACACTTCTAGATGGGAGAAAAAAAATTTAAAGGGTTAGGGCTAGACAGGTAGTATGGAGCCCCAAAAGAATGATTTAGGCAGTGGTCTTAAGTAGTGAGACACCGAGGCATGGAGATGAGTGATGAACAGCAATCAGTGCTTTTAGTTCCTCTTGTTTCTCTGTTTTAGGGTTCCAATATGATTGGGAGGAAGTTAAAAGCAAATATTTATAGTTTTATAATCAGTTATAACCAGTTTTCTTAATAGTGAAACTTTCTTTTTCCATAGCTGTTGGATAAGCACAAAAATACAGAGAGCATGGTGGAGCTTCTGGACTTGTATCAGATGGAGGATGAAGCCTACTGCAGCCTTGCAGAAGCCACAACTGAACTCTATCAGTATTTACTACAGCCATTTCGAGACATGAGAGAACTAGCCATGCTACGAAGACAGCAGATCAAGGTATTTTTTTTTTTAAGCCTAAATAGTAGGCTACCTATTTCATAGTTCTCAGCCTGGCTGGCCATGCGTCTTAATTACTGGAGGAGTTTTATTTAAAAAATGGAGATACTTGGTTCTTTCTCCTCCCAAATGCTAACTTGGTAGATTTGGGTTACAGCCTGAGCATCTCATTTTATTTTATTTTATTTTTATTTATTTATTTTTTTAAAGATGAATTTAAAGGGGATCTTAACCCTTGACTTGGTGGTGTCAGCACCACGCTCACCCAGTGAGCTAACCAGCCATCCCTATATGGGATCCCAACCCATGGCCTTGGTGTTATCAGCACCACACTCTCCCGAGTGAGCCATGGGCCAGCCCCCTGAGCATCTCATTTTAAAGCATCTTAAAAGGTGATTCTGCTTAGTAGCCAGGATTGGGAAAAGCATGGAAAAAGTAATATGTTCTATCTGGTACAAAGTGGTAAATATATTGGAAGATCCCTATCTCTCCACTTTTCTTGTATTTCCTTTCCTTCTCTACTCCTGTCTCCTTTCTTTTAACATTTTGGGTACTGTGTAGTCCTAGACATTTTTTACCAGAAGTTTTGGGAACATTTCTTTTGGGAGGAACTTGTTACAAAAGTTACAAGGATTTAATGGTAGAGCTTTAAATTCATGATGTTTAGTTTTTATGTATTAAGAAGTATGCATTACATTATTTGAGGCAAGAATTAAGGGTTTTTATAGCTGACCTCGAATCAATGTTACTGTATGCAATTCACATTAAAATATTCTTGAATTAGGACATTAAAAATGTGTTTTTGCATAATGGGTTAAGTTGGAACATCATTATATAAGATTCTGTATTTGACAAAATTAGCCATTATTTGGAACTTTATTCATAGGGTCAGAGATGAGTAGTATATTTGAAGAAGTATGAGATGGTAGAGCATGTCTGTGTGTCTTTTTTTCCCTTTACTGATGAGCGGGATGGAGAACAGCACAATCACATGATTGGCACAAAATCCTTTATTAATACTTTAGAAAAATGTTGGGTTGTCAGTTTTATCTTAAACTTGGCATTTTGGTTAAAGTGATAAGATGCAACTAAGTAAGAATTTTTAGACACTGGAATTTCCTCAGTTTTCAAAAAAATAACTGTAGATGTTTGTTGAGAACTTGACTGGAAGGCCAGGAGTGAACTGGTTGCATAGACATCCCACCTACTTCTAGAATGCAGCAGGGTTTAGTAGACATAATCTCTAGAGCTCATCGTTGACTATCCAGAATCTGTATGCATTCTTACTTTTACATCAGTTATATCACGATTAATATTAGGTATTAACATTAGCAAATTGATTGAACCTACTTGTCAGGCTGTATCACCTACTAGCAGGGCTTATTGCTCCATTTTTCCTGGGAAGCAGAATATAGGTCAGAGGAACAAACAACATATTTTTTAAAAATGGTATTTTACTGCATTTATTTTTCTAAGACATTGCCACTCAAATGCCTCATCAGCCATGATGACTCTTTTATTCATGGCCCCCTTTTTTTTTAAAAAAAACATAAAACGATGACCGGTGAGGGGATCTTAACCCTTGACTTGGTGGTGTCAGCACCATGCTCTCCCGAGTGAGCTCACCGGCCATCTCTATATAGGGATCCGAACCTGCGGCCTTGGTGTTATCAGCACCACACTCTCCCAAGTGAGCCACGGGCTGGCTCTATTCATGGCCCTTTTGTAAACTTTTAAGTTTTACAATTATTTGTTACTGAACAACTAGATTTAGTTAGTGAGCTCATAGAGTGTCAGATGATTGTGTCAGTTCAGTGGTGCTGTTACATAATTTAACTCAGTTAATTCTCACAACAACCCCTGTAAGTTAGATGCTCTTAGTGTTTACTTCATAGATAAGTACGTAAGTTTTATAGTTTTCTTATTCACAGCTATAAGTGGTGTAGCAGATACAGTACTCAAATTCAGGTATCTCTGATTCCAAAGATTTTTTTTTTTTTTTTGGTCCATATTGAACCCTGGACTGTGGTGTTATTAGCACCATGCTCTAACCAACAGAGCTAACCAACCAGCTCCAAGAATTTGTTATATAAGTACTAAAAACTATTACTTATTTTGTACAGTGTTACTTGTGGATGTTTGCCATAGAAATATTTTAGTTCTTATGAAGATTATTTATAGCCAAATAGCTTATAATTGCAGCCTTTTTTTTCTGAGTTTTGGAATGTATTTGTCACTAAGTAAGGCTAGCTCTATCAACAAAATATTCTTCTGGCACAAACTTTCAAATTAGTCTTTTGAATCTTAATTTAATAAGATCTATTTAGTAGTTTTTATGTTATCAAGGTACAGAATTAGTGCCTAAAATAGAGTAAGAAACATGTTTCATCCAGAAAGTAGTGCCATTGTTGTGATTTGTGCTGTGCACACTTAGCTAATCAATCATCAATTTAAAAACCTTGAGGTGAAGTAGTTGAATGTATTTATCAGTTGTGGAATCATTAATATTTAAATTTATTCTAGTGGTATATTATTTTCATCATTATCACCTGGAACCCTGTTAGAAATAAACTTTGTTGGGTCTCACCTCAGATCTCTACTGAAACTCTAGAAACGGGGCTCAGCATCTGTTTTAGCAAGACTTCCAGGTGATTATGATACACACTAGTTTGAGAACCTTAGCCTAGTAAAATAGGACTTGAAACAGTGAAGAGATTTAGCACACTGAACTCAAAGTAACAGTTTCTCTGGGATCCAGTTTTCTTATCTCTAAAATGAGATTTAAACTAGGTGATCTTCTTTAGATTTTAAAACCCAGTGCCTAATGGATCAGTCAGTAAGTTCACCTGGCAGTGATCTTCCTGAATCAACTATGAGGACTTTAAACTTATTGTTCTTTTCAGGAGCCCCAACTCCAAATGTCCAACTTGTTTGTTTTTAATAGTTCCTGAAAGTGAATAAGCTGGAAACTGGGAGGCATCCACAGTCTTTCCTCTCGTAGCCAGACACCTCATTTTGCCAGTTGTCTCCTACTTAAATCTTGAATATGTGCTTCTTCCTCCATACCTCTTTTACCCCCGCCCAAGGCAAGTCTATAGGTTCCTTTGTGTGAGTAGAAAAAGGTACCCACCTGCTACTCCCATCAGACATATAGAAATGGTTCCCTTCTAGGAAGATGCAAAAATATACATGGCTTGGCGAAGAAAAGCCTAGATTTGTTTCCTCTCCAACACTTTGGTCAGGTGCTTTTATGCAGGATGCAAATTTTACACCATTGTGTCACTGTATATCACTATATATGCTGTAGCATGCACACTGTGAACTGTGTAGTGCCACTACTATGTAATAAGATACTTATCTCTTACTTGAGTTATATTTGTCTTTGGTTTCTTTGCCTTTGTATTTCTCTTACTTAAAAACCCAAACATTATTTTACACACTTGCCTGGAATATAAGAAGCTCTCAATATTTGCTTTGAGTATAAAAATGCATGAATAGATGCGGCCACACCTAATCATGTCATTCTGTTAAATCATCTTCAGGCAACTCCAGGGCCTGGAAAATTTGTATTATGGGCACTACCTCAATATATTCACAAATTCCACTGGTGTTTGATTCACCAAAGAATCTAATTTGGATTTTCGTCCTACTCCCAACAGACAGGAATAACATAATAAGCTTCTTATGTAAAACCCAGTAAATAATTCCATGCCAGGCATTTTGTATTTATAAACTGGTTTCACTATGCTAGCTACCTAAACTGACACACACTTTTTTCTTTGTTAAAAACGGGCAGTTTCTTTTTAGCTCTGAAATTAAAACAGAGGTATCATTGTCTTTTGGCACATGATTCAGCTGACCAATGCTGTACATCTCCAAATTTGCCAAGTTAGGAAAAGAACTTACTATCCTTGCTTAATGTCTTAGATACTGTAAGCTGTTAAACAGGTTTCTTAACAATTGGCTGCTACATTACAGTTGGCTACTGAGTTTCAAAACTCAGTTAAAAAACAGCATTAGAGGGGCCGGCCCGGTGGTGCACTGCTACAGTGCACCACTTGGGAGCGCAGTGCCGCTTGGGAGCGCAGCGGCGCTCCTGCCGAGGGTTCGGATCCCATATACAGACCGGTTCCCGCTCACTGGCTGAGCAAGGTGTGGGCGCAACACCGAGGGTTGCGATCCCGTTGCCGGTCCCGGTCTGGTACAGGTGTGACACTGAGGGTTGCGATCCGTTGCCGGACACGAAAAAAGACAAAAAGGAGGAAAAAAAAAAAAAAAAACAAGCATTAGAAAAGTATAGAGAGCATGACAGCATACAGACTATAAATTTGTGAATATACATGTATAATGAAAGTAAAGATATTAATTAGTTAATATTAACAGCAAAGTACAAGTTATTTTCAAATAATTGCCACTGAATTCTTTTTTTTATTTCCCTCTTCAAAAAATCCGTAATGCAAGTTTTTGTACTTTCGTTTTTTTGTTGATAAAAGGTACAGTGTGTAACCATGCAGATGAAATCAATTTCTGTCTTAATGTTCTGAGTAAAGATTTTTGAATTTTGAGTATTCTTCAGTTTTTTGAATTTATGTTCTGTAGTTGTGTCTGTCAGGGTCTGATCAGAAAATCAAACTATTTCAACAGAGGGAATTTAATATAAAGAATTGTTAACTAGATATAAAGCTATTAACCAGATAATTAAGAAGTCAGGACAGTTGGTTAGAGCATGGTGCTTATAATACCAAGGTCCAGGGGTTGATCCCTGGTACTGGCCAGCTACCCAAAAAAAAAAAAAAAAAAAAGAAAAAGATAAGTAGAGAAAGTAACTCTAAGGGTATCTCAGAGGAAGCAATTGCAAAAATAGCTACCGATTCTAGATTTGGGGGAACAAAGTGAAGGGGCTGGAATTGTTAAAACTTAAGTTTAGAGGAGGAGCCCCATGGAGCAGAGCTCTGAAGAGGATGTTGCTCACCTAGTACCCTTCATGGAGAGAACAAGAT